TGTATAACGTTACAAAAACGAATTTTTTTAAATTATCACGATTTATTGGTGTTAGGTCTAGTTTATGTGTTATAAAAAAGAAAATATATATAATTTATATCCCAAAAAATTGATGATCTAAGTATAAATAAAAAAATATTATTATATATTTAGCGTTTCGAAGAACTATGTATTTTTAAGGTTATGCAATTTTGTATTTTATAGTTGCTGAAGAAGTTCTTATAAAAGGACGAAAGATTTAACAGGATTAAAACAATATGTTCTGATTGTTTTACTTGTCCAACTTTCCAATGATACAAAGTTTTTATATATTTTTATTTTGTGGATGCAAAAAACAACTAATTGAATTATGAAAAAATTCAATTTAATGTTCAAATGTATCTCGAAACAAGATGACTTATGTTAAACCACTTTTATAATTATGAGCATTAATGTTAAGAAGTTATTTCGTGAGAACCGTTAATTCGTGAAATTGACCATGTAAATCTTGAAATATTGAAAATTTCCATAAATTTTAAAGAGTTTCAATCTCTTTGATAAGTAATTGAAACTTGTCTTACTTTCAAGAATATTTGAAAAAAAAGTTTTACTCATTTTAGTTAATTTTACTAACTTTACTATGATTCTTGAGTATGTCCATCCCCTTCAATTTCGAATGGTTCAATCCTTTGACTGTTACGTCGGAAATTCCTCAGCATCCAATTGCTTTGTATTAGCCATTTCTCTCTCTCTCTCTCTGTCTCTCTGTCTCTCTCTCTTTCTCTCACTCTCCTCTTCAGATCTTGAAACGTGTTTACTTTACCTTTGTGGTGACGGAACTCTTACCGTAGTGCAATAAACTTTGATCCATCACTTCCCTTTTATTTCGTATTATTTCTCTCTCTTTCTCTTTCTCTCTCTCTCTCTCTCTCTCTCTCTCTCTCTCTCTCATTTTCTATTTCACTTCCTCTTTTTTATTTATTCATAATCGGGAGTAACTCTTTGAAAACTCTTTTTTCAAAGAAAAGGATAGTGAACAAAAGGTAACAGTGTAAAAACATTTCTAAATTTTTGTCCAATTAAAAAAGGAATCACACACCATGGAAGCACAAGATGATCTACCTTTTTGCGATTTTATAGAAAATTATTGTACGTATGTGCTAAGTAGAAAAAAAAAAGAAATTCTTGGGTAGAAATTGTACGATAAATCCATCAAGGTTTTCACATTAAATATCAGTACAACATTTTCGACCAATCTTTTTCGTTCTGTATTTCATTCTTTCTTATTTTTTCTTTTTTTTTACCTATCTTTTACTTTATCATTTCTTCTTTCCACTCATATACATATATATATA